GCTGCGTCAATCTCGCCTTCTTCCTGAAGCTCCACTCGCGGCCTCCGCCCGCCTCCAGCCCGGGTCCCGGCTTCCTTCCTCTCCCCTCCCCCCACCTCTCCCAGAGGCCTTCACGGCGCAGCCTTCGGGTCTCGCGAGAGCGGGAGCTGCCGAGGCGGCAGGAGCGAGTCCCCGGGCTGCGTTTTGTCGGTTTGGGCCCTCGGGGAAAGATGGCGGTTGCCCCGCCCCCACCGCCGGGCCCGGGCCTGGCCGTGGCGACTCCCGTCCGCGAGGGGGGTCTTCGGGGTCGTGGGCGCGCCTGCGAAGCCGCGCAGTCCTCGATGAGGGGGCGCTGCCGGTGTTCTCCCTACAACGGGCGCGCAATCCCTCGGGGTTGTCCCTTCCCTTCTTGCTCCCACCCCGGGGACGCCTGTTGTCGTGTCTCGAGGAATGAGTTTTTCCTCCCCACTCCCTAGGCCTGGATCTTGCACCCCAAGTGCTGCCTTTTCTCCGAAGCTCGGGTGGGGTGGCCGCGGCGACTGCGACTCGCCAGCTCGAGCCCGTCGCTCGCCCGCAGGATCCCGGCCTGCGCGCTTAGCTGGTGGCTCCTCTCCACGTTCGTAGCTCCCTGTTTTCGAAAGAGGAAGCACCAAGTTAGTTTGCAACTCTGGGGCCTCCATATCCTGGCGGAAGCCTTCTGCTCCTCTAGAACTGAAAAGTACTCTCCTGACGCTCCCCTAGAACTGAGAAATATTCTGGTGCTCCCCTAGAACTGAGAAGTACTCTCCCGATGCTCCCCTAAAATTGAAAAAGACTCTCCTAGCGCTTTCCTAGAACTGAAAAGTGCTCTCCTGATGCTCCCCTAGAACTGAGAGCTACTCTCTTAGTGCTCCCCTAGAACTGAAAAGTACTCTTCTGGTGCCCCCGCTGAATCGGAGGTGTTCCCTAGAGTCAGAAGGTACTCTGCTGGTGCTCCCCTAGGACTAAAAAGTATTCCCCTAGTATTGGAAGGGATTCTCTCATGCTCCCCTAGAATCAGAAGGGACTCTCCTAGTGCTCCACGGTCACTGCTCCAAGTAAATGGCCCGTTGAATTCGCCTTTCCAGCACATAAATTGCCAACTCCTTGATGGGGAAATCGTAGCTCCCACAGGTGATTCTGGTTTACAGTGTTCCTTTAAAAAAATTATTGTTTATAAAGAGTCATATTTTAGTCCTATTGAAACTCTCCCATTGTTTCCAAAACTTAGATTTGTGTTAAAGTTTCAATTGGGACTTAAAAAGGCAACCATAAAGTTCACCTGAAAATTAAAGATATTCAAACCTGTCTCCCCACCCCCACCTCCACCCCCCCCCCCCACCATCTCTAAGGAGCAGTCATGGCAAAGTCCTGAGCAGCAGCGTGGACTCCCTGATACGGATAAAATAGCAATGTTGTTGAGGACAGGGCGAATTAAATTTTCAAGTAAGTTAGAATTGAAAGCTAGTGGATCTTTATCAAAAATCTAAGATTACTGTTGCATAACTCATAAGCTTTGTAAGCTAAAAGTCGACAGCGTTGGTGGGAGAATAAATCGAAGGCATGACCGGAACTGAGAAGTGATTGTGTCTGTTACTGCGGGGGTTTTTGTTATAATCACACAGTGTACATGTTGGTGTATAATTGTTAAGCCAAATACGTGATGCTCTCTGAGTACCAGGGCTCCCATCAGGCACACTAGAAAAGCAGATCCCAGACAGGCTTCTTTTTCACTGTGGAGCATGACTTAGCAGTATTGAAACATTTGAGTTTTTGCTTGGCTGCACAAAAATAACATTATTTTAGAAACTCTATTGGGAAGTGTAGGCATGAAACTAGTCTGAGGTAAGAGGCCTGTCTCCTCAGAAACGTTTTTAAATGAAGAAATACAAGTGATTATTTTTGTGCATGTCTGATGACCCTTTTTTTTTTTTTTTTTTTGAGTTGGAGTCTCACTCGGTTGCCCAGGCTAGAGTGCAGTGGCACGCTCACCGCCACCCTAGTGTTGATCCACTGGGCTCGGGCAATCCTTCCTCCTCAGCCTTCCAAATAACTGGAACTACAGGTGCATGCTACCACACCCAGCTAATTTTTTAAATTTTTTTATTGTAGAGAGGAGGGCTCATCAAGCTGCCAGGGCTGGTCTCAAACCTGTGGGCTCAGGCAATTCACTTGCCTCAGCCTCCCAAAGTTGGGATTACAGACTGAGCCACCAAGGATAGCCAACCCAATTCTTAATTTCATTACAGAATTTTGTGCTAATTTTAACTTTAAATTTTAGTATATGTGCCACTCATTTGTATACATAGCTTTAAAAAATGACTTGTATTCTTTTTTCTCTTTCATTTTTAGTTGATGCATAATAATTATATATATTTGTGGGAGACAGAGTAGTAGTTCTACACATGTATATGGTATGTAATGATCAAATCAGGGTAATCAGTATATCCATCACCTCAGACATTTATCATTTCTTTGTGTTAGGAACATTAAAAATCCTCCTAGCTTTTTGAAGATATACAATACACTTAACTATATTCACTCTGAAGTGTTATAGAGCACTCGAACATTCCTCTCATCTAGCTGTAATTTTATATCTTTTTTTTTCGAGGAAGCAGGATTTATTGAGAGGACAGAAAAGCTCCCACAGTGGGAGGGGACTTGAGGGGGTTGCCCTAATTTTATATCTATGAATCAACTTCTCCCTATCATCTCCTCCCCCTCTAATAACCACAATTCTTCTTTCTTTCTTTCTTTCTTTCTTTTTCTTTCTTTCTTTCTTTCTTTCTTTCTTTCTTTCTTTATTTCTTTCTTTGTTTC